ACAGTATTCATACTAGAGGTGAACCCGCGACCACCGGGAATGCGTACACATACAGCCATTGCTCGAACATATGGAGTGTCCTATCGAAGCATAGCGCTTCTCACTGCTCTTGATGATCATGAGCGGTTGCGGGCGCTGGCGGTCCCTTTCGTTGGAGGCGCACAATACGACATGCAAGTCTTGTTTATAGCGGCACAGAAAGGTGGAGTTTATCAGTCCGGAGATGTTTGTTCAGCTGTATTAGAGCGTGAGCCACACTTGAGCGGTCACGTCAAGCAGTCCATGGGATTTCTTCACAATGGACAAGAAGTACCTGACCCAAGGGGTCGAACAAGCGGAATTGCTTGCTTTTGGATTGCTTCTCGAGAAGGGAGACGAGAAGCTAGGTTGATTAGTGAGAAAATCCAAGAGCTAGTTTGGGAACTTACAGATGGGTTTTAAAGTTACGGTCACTGTATAGGCCTTAACTAATGAAGTAAACCTGGTGTACTTTGAATTGTGAAGGAGAAGACGGGGATTTTGCCGTCACCTTTCCTTGCAGAGCTTTCTTAGATATAGATATCACCATAGAATTACTTCTCCTCAATATCGTCGAAACGAATATCATAGTTTTTTCTCTTCTTTTTCTAACTTTTAGCATTTAGCCAATTTTCTCATCTCCGAATATAGTTTCTTTTTCCACTTCGGCAAAAGAATTGAACTTTCCATCACCACCCTTTGTGTGTGTTGCAAGAAACTTATATGAAAGGGATGAATTTTTGCTCGATAGTGACAATGAGTGAAGATCTTTCCACCTTTGACGAATTGCTTTGTGGTCCTCAGAGCCTCTATGGTCTCTCCTAAGTTCTTCCTCGAATGCTGACAACTCGGATTCCTTTCCGGCACTTTTAATGCAGTTTTCCGTTGTTAGCCACGTTCTCCCCGTCTGTATTGTCCTTGTCACAACGTTATATCCCTCCAATACGTGGCGCCAGTGTTTCCAAGAGCCACATTTGACGGCCGAGATAACGAGAAGCTTTTCAGTAATGTATCGAATCGAACGATATAAAGAGTTTGAAATACCGAACCCCATTTGAAAATTGTACTGCGGTTATGTGTAAACCTGCTCTTCATATGAAAACGAACAAATCATGAATCTCATCTTGCTCACTAGGTATGGTCTCTGTTGGAGGTAAGTTCTAGAATATAATAATAATATTCTAGTAATAGTGGAAGACTTAGTCACTTTAGCTTGAGGGACGAATCGAATATAATATAAGAGTTGAATTGAAGACAAATTATAAGAAAGAGCTTGATTGAGCTGAATTTGCTTGCTTTTTCTTAGGGTTTCTTTAAAGAATATCCTAGGTTTATATAGTTTATAATGAAATTTTAGTAGTTTCTATGTTTATAAATAAGATCGATTTAAATCAAATCTTATAGAATCATTTTATATTATAAAAGAAAAATACAATCAATCAATTTAGTTAATTTATTAACAATCTTTTATATGATTCCATCTTATTCTATTTCATTATAAATCAATTTGGTAAGAGATATAGCTATATAATAATATAATTTTATAATATAAAATCATATTATAACGTGATTTATCAGTGTGCGGGTCATATCAGTGTGCGGGTCATTTTCACCTCAATTCACTCTATTCTCTTTCAATACGCGTTTTTATCAACAATCCACAATGGATTCGAATAATCAAGAAGCCCGTATACTCCTCGCTATCGAAGCTATTCAAAAAGACAAAAAAACAAGTATTCGAAAGGTTGCAAAGATATATAATATCTCGAATACAACACTACAGCGTAGAATTAATGGTATTACTTCCCGTTCCGAATATCGACCTAAATCTTATAATCTTTCAGAACTAGAAGAGAATATCATTTCTGAATATATAATTGATATGGATTTGAGAGGATTTCCACCTAAATTAAGAAATGTAGAAGATATGGCGAATCATATTCTTGAATCGAGGGGTGCAAAGCGCGTTAGGAAGCTCTGGGCGCATCGATTCGTAAAGCGTCGAATCGAATTAAAGACGCGTTTTAGTCGTGTTTATGACTTTCAAGGAGCTCTCTGCGAAGATCCTAAGCTTATTGAAGAGTGGTTTCGATTGGTTGCGAATATGCGAGCGAAATACAGCATTTTGGATGGCGATTTCTACAATTTCGATGAGACGGGCTTTATGATGGGTATAATATGCCCCGGAATGGTAGTAACTAGTGCTGAACGGAATGGCAGAAGCAAGGCAATACAACCAGGCAATAGAGAATGGGCTACAGCAATCATATGTGGCAATGGGGAGGGTGAAACTATACCCCCATTTCTAGTGGTTCAAGGACAGGTTCATCTTTCCAATTGGTATACCGAAACCGATTTTCCTGCGGATTGGGCTATTAAACCTACATCTAATGGATGGACAAACAATGAGACAGGTTTAGAATGGTTGAAACACTTCGACAAGCACACTAAGAACCGAAGAAAGGGCAGGTATCGAATGTTGGTACTAGACGGGCATGAAAGCCATGAATCAAGAGCTTTTCAAGCATATTGCAAAGAGAACGATATTATATGCTTAAGTCTACCACCGCATTCAAGTCATTTAACTCAACCACTTGATGTGGGCTGTTTTAGCAATCTGAAACGTTCATATGGTGGTCAAATTGATGGATTTATCAAGGCACATATCAATCATATTTCGAAGGTTGAATTCTTTATAGCTTTTAAAGCTGCATATAAAGAATCAATCATCTCTCAGAATATGAAATCAGGATTTCGAGGAACAGGTTTAATACCATTTAACCCTGAAGCCGTACTTTCGAAGTTAGATATTCGAATTCGTACACCTACCCCTCCCTCTTTCGATCTAGATCAATGGATCTCTCAAACCCCTCACAACCCAACTGAAGCTCTTTCTCAATCAATTTTAGTGAAATCTCGAATAACCCGACATCAATCAAGCTCCCCTACACCTATATTTGAGACTGTACTAGCTCTAGCTAAAGGTACAGAGAGATTAGCTCATGAGAATACACTTTTGAATGCAGAGATTCGTACACTTCGAAAGGCAAATGAGGCATTAAGCAAGCGTCGACGCGCGAAAAAAACCCAATTACGTCAAGGAGGAGTACTTACTGGGCAAGAAGCTCTTGATATATTATCTCAACAAGAGGTTGATATTCAGATTCAACGCGACGAGCGTCAAAAAGGGAGGAATTCTAATGAAGAAGCATCTTCTAGTCGATGCTGTAGTAAATGCGGAAAGACCGGACATAATGCAAGAACTTGTCAAGATAATATAATAGATCCTAGATTATTATAATTTTCATAGTTTTAATCAATTGATTCAATGGTTGTTGAATAATATGAGTTTGAAAGAGTGAATTGAGGTGAAAATGACCCGCACACTGATATGACCCGCACACTGATAAATCACGTTACTTATATTATTAATACATATATAGCTTGATTAGTAAGATATTAATAAGTGATTTAGTATACTTATTATAGAATCTCACAGTCTCAATGGCTCTTCCCAACCATCCTGTCCTTGCCTGTAAGTGCGTCTGTTGCCTTTCCATACGGATAAGATACCCAACCTTCCATTGAGGTAAGATTTGTAACAACTAATCGTATAGAACATAATTCTGATAGTAGAGAAGATTATGAATAGCGATAGTCAAGAAACACCCCTAAGGTTTCTGCTCCAATGGATCGTTTTGGTTCACGGCCATGTCCTTCGTCAAAATCATTGCCTAAACCTACTCTCAGCCTTTGTTGTCAGTCTTTGCTTGCTGCCTGGGAGCAAACAGCAATCTCCCTTGAGAGACCGACATGCCTTGATTTGGTGTAAATCAAGCAAGCTCGTTCTGGCTTGATAGATTGGCGATTGTACAATGATACGCAGCTCTATTCATAACGACAGAAATTAAATGGGATATGGCCTCTGCCACAATACTTATTAAGCCTTCAATTGAGGTATCGAGTATGACGATTTATATCTAAGTTTCCAAAGACTGATATTTGTATCGTAGTGGAACTTCAGTCTTTCTGATTGATTGGCAAGTATAGAATCATGAGGGTTCATTACTGAGTTATTATAGCTCGTAATTAGTAGTTCTTTTCTACCCCAAATCCAAGCATGTTCTTGGGGTACACCGCTCACGTGATATGCTAGCAGAACAGCATCACCACCTCTACGTAATCGAAATAAGAGGCGGGGAATCGAGTCCTCTTTCAAAGAACTTCTTAATTGAATTATAAATCCATTTCAAGTCAAATACTAGATTCTGAAAAGACTAAACGAAAATTTGGGCCTTCTTTATATAAACAATAAGAACTAAATATATCTGATACTCAACTTCCGCCTCTTATTTCGGTTACGTAGAGCCCACTAAACAAATATTGTGTGTGCATTGCACACAGAGCTTGAGAGCCTTGGAAGATAGCAAAAGCACCTAAGCGTTCTTGAGGGCAAAAGGGCACATTTGTGTATTCCCTTTCCCCTTCTTTCAACGCATAGTTCTCGATTATATATAGCTAGAGCTTTAGTTAATTAAAATCATCATAACGTATGGTCAGTTTATTTGAACTTGAATCGTTCTATATGATTTTGGGATTCAGCTAGATTGTTGATGAGATGCTTGCGAACTGTACCCTGAAACCCTTTCACTATTATTTACAGTACTTCGTACTGATATAGCAGTTCCAGCTAAAACCCTCAATCTATTCTCAAAACATGCCCTCGTATAATTGATATAATTTTAACTTAGTTATATCGATTAAGAATTTATTAGTTGAGTATCGCACTTTCGAGGCTCCTCAGGCAACTCCCTTCAGCGAACCTCGCGTTCCGCGAGGGTTCGCGTACGGGAGCTTGGGGCAAAATCGCATGCAGGTGGTCATGGTGTGAGGGAATTGTTCGTTTTAACAGCTCATAGAAGGATTTGTGCCAAATTGCAGTAGAACTCTTGTTCTCCACCGGGATAAGCTCTCAACATCACTGCAATCAATGGCTTATCTTTCAGAATCAATCTATTTTTATGCCTTGGCAGAAGTGCGAGTCGAAAATCTGCAAGGTCTGCACGTACCCGATGTGCTCAACAAATCATGGCTGGATGATCGCCGCTATCTGTGAGAGCTGAGTAGGTTGTGGTCAGCACTCCTATATATGAAGCAACTATGAAGTATGCAAACCAACATACAATCCCATATAGCAGCAAGTGTGCTTTGGAGCTAAAGTTAACATTGAATCAATAAAGCTCATACAGCATTTTTTATTTTTTGTGTCATCATTTTTGAGTCTTTTACTTATATCTTGTATATCTGCCCCCTCTTCCTACCACCTTTCGTTCTCACAGAAAAGCCACGAGTATATTCTTCTTTCGATGCAAAATTACGCTTCTTCGGATGTACAACTGTTGGAAGCAACTCTATGTTTGAGCTCACCATCGCTCCATTAATCTTGATTCCCTCAGTATAACTATGATGAAAATTCCCAAAAATCTGCCTCTAGGGCAGATCCTGATCTTGTGTATGTTACTCCTACCCAGCTGAAAGCTACCTACCAGCATGCCTTATGACTCATCATTCATACAGCACTCTCCAGATTTGCACATCCATTTGCTTACTCTGCATCTCTACCTTATATCCCAATGATGATGAGATATGTCGGTGTTCCTCCAGAGACGTTAGGTTTTTGGGTAGGAGCTGCTATTTCCAGCTTCTCCATCTGTCAAGTAGGAACTGCTATACTATGGGGCCATATCTCCGATCGTATTGGTCGAAAGCCTGTGATTATGATGTGTAGCATGATGATTATGGTTGGCGTCCTCATGTTCGGGTTCTCAACACAGTTATGGATGGTCTTGGTAAGTAGAGCAATTATGGGGCTCAGTAGTGGAGATTCTGGGGTTATCAAAACGAGTCTAGGAGAGATGATCAAAGATAAAGTTATTTTCCACGTTCCTCGTGTCTTTAACTAAATGCTGATATTGTTTGAAGAAACTTCAAACAGTCGCCTTTTCCATTCTTCCACTTGGACTTAATTCTGGGTGGGCAATAGGTCCAATTCTGGGTGGTCTCGCCGCAAATCCATATCATGTTGAACCTGGAAAGCCACATGGTGATAGGTTCTTGGAGAGATACCCTTATGCTCTTCCTAACCTCATTGCTACGGGATTCTTTTTCGTTAGTTTGTTCATCGTATTTTTCGGATTCAGGGAATCACTAGAAAGTAAAAGGGGAGAGTCAGACTACGGAATTTTGTTAAAAGAACGACTTTTTACAGTAACTAGTAGGTTCTACAGTAAAGTGAGGGGCAAAGGTGATAAAGATGAAGACAAGGAAGAAGAAGATTTGGAGACCGCTCCTCTTCTATCAGATGAGAACTCTTTACCGCCGGCTATTTTCAACGTCGCGGAAGCCATCCCTCCAGTACCCGAGAATCCACCCTCAGCAACATGGAAGCAAGTCTTGGATCGACAAACTGTTATGTGTATTATTTCGTATGGTTTCTTAACTATGCACTCATCATCATATGATTCGATCATCTCAGTGTTCATGCACCATGCCAAACAAGACCCCTCCTCCCCTCAAATGCATCTCCCCTTCAAATTTAATGGTGGATTTGGTTCTGGTACGTCTTCACCACCCTGACATAAGATGTTCTATTACTGAACCAACATACAGATACCACAGAAATCGGTCTCGTGTTCACCATCTTCGGATTCTTCTGCATGTTCATTCCCCTATTACTTGTCGGTGTCCTCAACCGATATTTTCCCGTTCTGCGCGTCTTTCGTTACTCCTGCAGCATTGGGATTCTACCCATCTATCTCGCCACTCCCTTTACAACCCTTCTTCCCCACCCCACAAACTTCATCGTGCTTAGTATTCTTTTTGCTCTGAAGGGATGTATATGTGATTTTGGATATATTTCTGGCAGCATACTAGTTGCGAGATCATGCAAGATTGATAACGGAAGGGGGAGAATCAATGGTTTACAGAGTATGATTAGCGCGATGGCAAGAATTGTAGGACCGCTTTGGGCGGGGAGTATGTTGGATTTGGGAGCGAGGATAGGATATATAGGGATGGGGTTTTGGGCAGGTCCGGCGTTGGCTGTGGTGCTGGCTTTATTGCCTCTTTCGTTGATGACGGATGATTAGATTTGAAGGGGAGATTGGGCTTGAAAGAGATACATGGAGAGATTAGAAGTCAATGCTATATAGAAATATAAATCTGAAAGCAGCATGTAATAGTGACTACCATTCTCGAATTCAGTTATTCCCCACAAGTGGGTGCAAACAAAACACACTTCCGTCTACCCTACGCAAGTTGCTTCGAAAGCTTGAATGATCAACCGCCAGTCGATGCACCTTAACCAACTACATCGTTCTAAAATATCTCCAAGGAGAGTGTCGTTGATTCCTTATTTTCTGCTGACATATCTTCACGACTTTGTGATCAACATCATTTGACATGGAAAATAATAAACTTCTCGTTTTGCGAATCCCATCAAACTTACCATACTGCAGTTTTTTTAAGAGAAACCAAGGCCTTTCTCATGACTTCCCAAAAAACCAATGGAGAAAATAAAGAGAAATGCAAACGAAAAGACTATGCATATATCTGCTAACTACATGATCCCTTGTATAACCAATCAAATTCGAAGATACTAAAAATGAAAACTCTCTCATACTCGTACATCCGAATCAACACATGAGCAAAATGCGAACAACAACAACTGCAAAAACTAGATCAGGAGTTTACATAGCCCCGATAAAGGTTTCAGATGTAAGCGCAATTGCAAGAACTCCGCCAAGACTAAGTAGTGCCACCCATGATAGTCAAATCACCTGTTCCCGACTCGATAGCAGGCTCCAGAGGGGCGGCTTCATCGAAAGCCTAGAACTTACCAACATCAGCGGGGAGGGTTACAATGCCCTCGTCGTGTAGCAAGGCAAGGCTATCCTTCATCCAAGTTCTGCAACTGAAAGTTTCGCCTGTCCGCTTAGATATTGGACCAAAGTCTGTGATAGCTCGAAAGGCTTGGTCTAAAGCGGCTTCAGAGAATACACAGCCGAGTTTGTAGGCAAAGACGATGGTCCTGGACTTTCGAATGTTGTTCGTCAATCTCACTTCAAGTGTTCAGCCGCCGGATTTGTTCGTTGCATGATAGTACCATCCCTTTACTCCTGAACACGGAAGAAATATTCCCCAATGCTAGAGATTGTTAGTAGAATATCTCGGGGGAGAATCAAAGAGGGAAGGTCTTACAAATGTTCCAGGCTGACCTCGCGTAGAGGATCATGTAAAGGGCGCCGTTTTCGAATGATGATGACATTTTGATATCGTATAGATTGAGGTAGTGGAAGATGTAGATAGATCATATACAAAGTATTGAAATGAAAGCGTTTTTTGGAAATGCTGAAAAAACAATCAATTAGGAGATGAGAGATTATATACTTGACAAAACATAACAAAAATCGGCAGTAACAACAGACTTCATAGTTGACTTAGAATGACCAAGAAGAGCCAAGTGAAGACGGTTTCGAAATCGACATAGGGACCTTAAAGTGCAACCCTGGGAATCGACTGGTCAACTTCGTCAGTTGAAGGGAAGATATATATAAGGAAAGCGCCTGTTCAAACGAATGTACATCAACATTTGTGGGGTCGATTTGGGGCGTTAATGTATAGGATCATCATAGGCCAAGATGACAAGAACAAAACTAGATCCTCGTTTTTTTCTTCTTCATCTAAATGGATTCGTCAAGGTCGAATTTGGTTTTTATGATCAAGATAATTTGCTGCCAACACAGAAGGTGTGATGAGTGTAAGAGTCTCATCATAGAGTCCTCCTATATTGAAGCAAATCAATTTGCTTTTGAGGCCGTTAGACTCACTCGAGTCACTTCTTGAACCCATCCAACATTGTATATCCCAGAATGGTCATCTAGTTCAAACATAGGTGAAGCCGACGATCTACCGCTACTAGTTGTGACCGCCGTGGCGTTCTAGATAAGCATCTTGATCGACCACAAGGAAAAGAAGCTGTCTGCTTTCTTTGTTGGGTTTAACTGTTGGTTACTAGTTGATGGATAAGAATCATGTATAGTGCATGTAAAGTGTGCTTCTGAAACCTTTCTCCTGTGGTTAGCAAAACTAAAATGCTAACCGCCCTTATGTATGGATTAAATGCGCCGCTCATGTGACTTGTACAACAAGGACTGTCCAGTAGCTAGCGCGGACCCCTAGCCAAAGCATCCCACAACTCAACTTGGCTTGACTCAAATTCTAATTCCATCTCACACTCATCATTGTTCGTTTTGAAATTTAATCTTCATTCTCTCCTCTTGCGCCTGTGTCTGTTTTGTAGCTCTAGGGGCTGTGGAAGGCGATAAGGCACGTGTTCTCAGTATTGTTCAAAATGCGGAACTTGCACATCCCAGTCTCCCTTTAGTTGAAGCATTCCTCAGTGATGCTATAGATGGCGAGCAGGCTGCAAGATATTTGTTACAAACTTACGTCGATGATAGAAGTAATGTTGACTTTGTACAGTTATTGAAAGATTGGAAGATCTGCTAAGACTTTGTAAGTTTTAACCCTAAATATGAGTGGGCCCACTGCTGAATCATATCAAGTCTATGTGGAATCATCCCACTCGAGAAATCTGAACTGGGCTCTGAAGAGAAGAGTTGCAAAAAGAGATAGATGTCGATGCTGTCTGACCGGAGTGCGATGTAGATTTTGGGGCAATTGGAATGTGTTTCCCATTATTCCTCCGACCGCACTTTGCATGAAGGAAGTAGGACAAACAAACCCGATCGCATTTTCTGGCAATTTTTCTGATTTTGTTTGTAGCCAAGGTTATTTGATATGCTTGGTGCATTTACTACATCTTTCCACCAAGACCTGCTCAAAGACAAAACACTAGAGAATCAGATTCGTAATCATTGGATTTTGAGCGAGGATGCGGCAATGCCCCTTTCGAGAGGGGTGATAAGACTAAAAAAGCTGGAAGGAGCAAATGTCCTCATGCCTTTTCTTCGTTGGCCCTATCCACGCTAACTTTCCACAGTACAGCATCCTGTATAACAATATTGGCGGCAATGTTCCGGCGATGTATACGCACAACCAACAAGTCAAGTGGAAATGTGATCTAGTTGATCACTCAAACTCTGGAATTGAGAGTCCTGACCCTTATCTTCTCGATATACAGTCTCGGCTCTCCAAAGCTCTAAAGTGGGTTGAAGTTGATACGAAGATAAAAGGCCGCCCATCCTTACGCCGAAGTCAAAACACAAGCAGCAGTGCTTTCAGAGAATCGATCACTACTACTTTTCTCGTTATGTGGTCTAAGTTCCCTGAATTCATTCGATTCAAGACCTACCGATTTTTGAGAACTGTTGGATCATATCTCTATGGGTCTACCACGAGAGAAGTTCAGAGGCTACCATTCGGAATGTACCTCAAATATGGTCCAGAATACGACGCTGAACATCACACCGGAGAACTCAACGCTCCGAAAACTGTGCGAAGTCGGACTTCTATCCCTGTTCCAAATCCCATAGATCTCTTAGTCTCACCCACTGAGTCCTTCTTGTGATGTCCCGCATTGAAGGCGTACCCGCCGGACACGCTATAGACGAATGCAGTGACGAGGAGGTGCATCAGATGGCTCAAGATCTACGCTCCTACATCACCGAGTTACATACTATTGAACAGAATAAAGATTCCAAGTACGCTATCACCAACGCAACCGGGGGTCCTTGTTGGACTACCGTATCGACAGTGAGCCAGTAGGGCCTTTTCCCACCGAGAAAGAATTCAGTGAATCATTACAGTTGGGGATACTTCCTGGATTGATGCACCGTACTGATCACAAGATATTTTTCACGCACGCGGATCTAAATATGAGAAACATCTTGGTCAAGGATGGGAAGATCTCAGGAATTGTAGATTGGGAGAATTCGGGATGGTGTCCTGAATATTGGGAATATATCAAGTGCCGTTTTTCGGTCAAAATACACAAGCGATGGGTGAAGATGATAGATGAGACATTTGAGAATAAGTATGAGGAGGAGTTGGCGATTGATAGGCAATATTGGGATTACCAAAGCGCTTGGTAGGCTGGATAAAGCTTGGGAATGTATTGTGTAGAGAATCATGGGGATGCAATTGAGTTGATGGGGAAGAAGATCTGCTAGCGCTGTTTGACTGGATACTGGTGGGTACCTAGTTACTACATCAGGTTTCACGTGATCTACCGACATTTTTACAGAGGAATTGGTTTACGAACATCACCTAGCCGGTTATTAGTACTCCGCACACTTTGCCATTTCGATATCTAAAAACAAGATCTCCAGAGCAGTCTTCCTCGTGATTCTGAACGGGTCTGAGAAACGAGGATACACGTGTTAACCTACCAAAACTCTCCCTTATCTAGCAAATGACCACCAATACCTCTGTTCTGTAATGCGGAATGTCTTCTGAGAAAGATCGAATTTACCAGTCCAGGGAATTCATCCTTCTTCCTTTTCTGTAATGCAAATCCAACCCTCCTCGAAAACCATGCTTTCGTATAATTTCGTATGTTTTCGTACCAGCTCGTATCACCCCCTAGCTCTCTGCTGACTCATCTCTACAATAAACGTGCACCCCGAAAAATTCAAGCAACGGGAAGAACGGGCTTGGCTCCTGGCTTCAAACTGAGACCCAAAAATAAGCTTCGTCAAGGCTTTTATCCAAGGGAATTCCTAGGGATTTCCAAGCCGGGAGTTTCGCTTTATGACGCTCTTTTTCTTTCCATTTTATGATTTCTTTTGAGGATAGCCAACATATACATATATATATATATAATATAACTATATCTAAAATATATATTAAATTGAGGATTTGATATGTATCTCATGCGGAGACTACCTAAGCAACTGATTGATGGGGATTAATAACTTTGCATACAAGAATACACCTGTCGGAATGCTACAAAGTATATTACTATCGCTCAAACCAAAGTGGCTGAAGAACATGACACCCGTGGACTGCACAAGAAAGACATTCAGGATAATCCTGCTTTTCCTGTTACTTTCCCCTGTTGAAAAATGCCGAACCCCCGGGAAACATCAAGCTCTTCTCACACGAATCCCCTTTGAAATAAAATGTGGAAAGTTACGTATCTCATTAATTTACAAAGTGTACTGGGGCTTCGTGACTGTGAATCTCTGTACTCTGTACTCTGTACGCGTATTCCGTTTCTAGAAGTCTGATACGATTTCTCTCGAGTGATCCATACCGACCGAGTATGTAGGTAGGTGCGGGACTCCAGAGGGAGAAGCAAACACAGCCTTCGTTTACGAGCTGCGCAACTGGACACTCGGCGGTTTGATTGTGGCGGATGATGGAGTGAGTGGCTACCCGTGGACACCTGCAGTCATGAATAATGGAATTGGGCTTCGAGATTGGGTCAACAAGGTATCTCAGGGGGTCAGCCCATATGACAATCCAGCCCTGTACTTACGGAATGGGGAAATGGTAAGACTTACATTGATTTTCCTCTAGGTGAGTGGGCAATGTGCATGCATAGTGTCTCGAGGGTGTGTGGGTGTGTGGGTAAAAATATATATCTAGGAATAATTTGTTTTACCTTTTAAACCCCTTCTTTCCTTCTTTCTAATTCATCCTTCTCTCTTCCAACCAACAAGCTCTCTCTACCTTGGGATATACAACCTTTCCAACAACCAATTCAACTCATTCCATCTCAATCACCAACCAATCTACAATCTCATCAAAATGCCTTTCGAAGCCCAACAACCTCAAGCTCAGCAAATGGAAATGTCCACTACCAATGGTCCCATCACCGAACAACCTGTTGGTCTCTCTCTTCCTATTCATACCCCGATCTCGTGTGTTCAGTCCCGATGACTATCTCGCAAACACACGTCTCGATGAGATTAAAACAAATCAGAATACAATCACAAAACACAAACTAACATTTTCGCAGCGTCAAAATGAGGGAATGAGCACTGATGTATCTATGCGTGGTGGCGGTGGATGCTGGTATGTTTTCTACTTTTTCTTTGCACTCTCTCGTACCCTTCCTTCTATCCAAAAAATTCAATCAAAAACTAACCATTCTCTCCAAATAGCGAAGCATGTCTCGCCTGCTGTCTCCTCGAGGAAGTCTGCGCTTGTTTGATTTGCGAGGAATGCTGTTGTTAAACGCTTCTTCGTGAGGATGTATATACACACAGATATATCCAAGATAGACATGACACCCACGATGCGATGGAGAGGAGAGGAGATAATTGATACCCGGTGGTTTGTGGATGGAGATTGTGATGGAGATACGAACATGGATGCGGATGCGGAGGGAAATATGAATTTCGATGTTTTTACGCAGATAATGAATTTTGGTGGATAGATGGATGCATGCGATAGAATGATGAAGGAAGATTGGATTTTGCTACTAGGTCTGTCTGCTGGGTGAGGAGTAGGTGGAATTATATCTTGCGAATAGCCCAATGTTATATATGGTTTTTTTTTTCTTGGAATAATCTTTCATCTTTATGATTGTGTGATTTTATCTCGTTTGTTTCATTTCATTCCATTTCGTGTGTTTTGTTGCTTGCTTGCTTGCATCTCGAATCAATTTTTCTTTTTCCTCTCGCGATAATCCGCAATATGAGCGATTTTTCATTCGTTTTAGCTTCACCGCTTGTACCTCACTAAAAGTACTAAATACCTCATTCATTACTAAATACTCGTGAATGAATACCCTAGTACCTAGTGAGAAATAAAACTCGCAGGAAATAAAGTTGCAGACAACCGGGAAATCAGTCGAGGTGTGATTGTGCACAGACTTCGTTTGTTATTCATAATTATATAGTGTGCGTGCGTGCGTGCGTCAGCTTGGCTTAGCTTAGCTTGGAGGGGGAGGGGGGGTTAGAATTTGGGGGATTGGATTACTGGGTGGGGAATGTGGTTGGAGTTGGGTGTTGGGTGTTGGGTGATGGATGTGGATGGTGATGGTGATGGTGATGAATGTTTTTGGGAGGGGGTGAGGTGGAATGGAGTGAGGGTTTTCGGTGTGTGGGTGTGGGGGTTTGGGGAGTTGGGGATCCTTTTGGGAGATGGGGGGGGAGGGGAGATTAGGCATTGGATTCGGATTTGAATTTGGGAGATGGGTGAGTTGGTGAGTTGGTGAGTTGGTGGCGAGGGATTGTTGGATGAGTTGGGTGTGGAGAATTGAAGATTTGATGGTGGTTTTTTGGTTGTTGGTCGTGAGATTGGTTGGCTTGGGTCGGGTTAGAATTGGGTGAAGGAAATGGGATGTTGAGGTTTGGATGTGTTGTTTGAGGTGGAAGTGTGAGGTTGTAGGGGTAGGTAGGTATGTACGTGAGTAGTTTTTGAGGAAGAGGATTGTAAGTATTGTGTTGAAATGAACGGAGTTGAATTAAATTGAACCACTTGTTTCCTCATGCACAAATAAATCTCGATGGCACTTCTTCACTCATGTTTAGCTATTTTTCTCGCTTCGCATGTGGATGTGGAGAGGTGGAGGGGGGTGATTTGGGTGTTGATGATGATGTTTCTTTTCTTTTCGTTTTGATTTTTATTTTCATTCTTTTGGTCTTTGAGGGGGGGATGGGAATGAGAATAGTATCTCTGGGGTAGTGGAAAAGTGGAAAGTAGAAAGTAACAAGTAGAAAGATAGAGAGAAGAATGGGGAGTTCCCTGGTGAGAGAGAGAAGGTGCGGGACAGTTATTGGGATGGAAGATAATGAACTATATACCTAGTAGAGATCAAACTTATGATATCGAGGTAGAGGGAAAGATTCAAGATTCGTGGAGATGTGGAATTCGTTATTCGCCTTTTCGTTTTGTTACTGTATGCAAGATCCTTTGTACATGATCCTTTGGGTAATGATTGTGATTTTTCGGTTAAAATTGTAGGTCGATGAATCCCGCGGAGTTGATTGTGAGGCTAGGGGAGTTGTTGCATGGTTGAGATACGTGTCTGAAGTTGTATTCCCATTGTGTATTTTGCAGTATTCAGCTGGTGGTTCACAGAGGGAGTTTGTTGATATCTTCATGGGCTTGGGAAGGGGAAAGGTCGAGGGATGAGGGATGAATCGGTGGGTAGTTGGAGGGTTGATGGCTGTGTGTGAGAAAGCATTGATTTGAGAAAGGGAATTGGAATAGTGGGGTTGGGTTTTTAATGAATGATACGAGAAATGGGGGGATGGCAATTTATTAGACAAGATGAAATTGGTAGGTATTTTATTTGTGGTTGATGTCCTTTCTGGTGCTTGTCTTCTCCTGGGTTTTCAAGGGTTGAGATTCAAGGCTTGAACGAGAACGGTGAGGCTCGCTTTACGATCTTTTAATCGAGCGGGGAAATTATCACTAGTTAGGGAGTCCACTTACTTTCTTTACTGATTGAGGAGTAATGAATGTTCAAATATCCAAAATTGTCCTTCGAGTTGGCAGTTGGCATCTGGCAGTCAGTTCAGGCGTCGGATAGGCTTTGTCGAGACAAGACATGATGGATATCGGTACTGGCCCATAGATTGAGTTTTGGACAAGATTCAATCTAGTGAGAGAGCTTTAGCTTTAGCTGCAGAGGTAGAGGCAGTGGAGGGTATAGATGGGTGATGGGGATGGAAGAGCTAAGTTATAGTGCAACCACGCGAGTAGTTTTGGGAAAGTTCTGAAAGTTTCGCGAAGCTATGTTCGTGGTATACAGAGAGGAATCATTTTGCTATTGCGCCCGCGATTGCTTGATTCATTCTCTGTTATTAACATTTTGGTTCGGGGTTAGGTATGAAGAATACTTGAGCTCGTGGATGGATTGACTGTTAATATAGAATATTGGTTCATCTGCGTGCTACCGACCGATGGTTGATGTCATAGTGAAATATTTGGGTAGATGTGAGAGACTGATGTGAATGTTTGCGATTAGATACCACTACGTACTTTCAATATCAGTACTGCGTTTGACGAGGCGCTGATGATACTCGAATGTGCGAGCAAAGCCACAATGCAAGCTATTACTGTTGTCGCTATTTGACATCTATTGATCTGCCCTTTCCACGCCTGCTATTCGGGGATATCTAATAGAACGCCGTATTTGGAGTAAAAAGTGAGATGAGTGGTTATTTCATTTCGCTATCAGTCCTCGAGCTTCGGAATACATTCATCGGTTTATATACGTGGGATCTAGTTAATAATCGGAGAGCTAGTATTAAGTGTCGTATGAGATGAGGTCGATTGTACAAGCCACGAATGATCTCACTGTTGGAATGATCGACGCGCATCTACCATGAAGAGACACTACATTTATGAATAGATTGTCCCTATACCCGCCCTGCCATCTAGACGTCGGTCGCTTCCATGTTCATTGAATATACTCCAGCTACATCCACCAGCAGCCCGAAGCCTTTCGTAGTTCAGCCGTAGCAGACTTTATTTTTATAAAGGTAAATCCGTGGGAAACTTGACTGGTAATAGACACTCTTCTGATCGAGTGATGTTGTTTGATTCTTCGATTTTCTTGTCTAAGCAGTGAAAATACCTGCTCGCGCAGCTCAAGTGTCGCTATTTTGTTTTTCGTCCATTCACGTATTCCCTGGTTATTGTTTGCTTGTTTGGTAGGATCTAGATGGTCTCTTTTGAACTATTAGCTTGCATTCCATGTTCATAGTGCATCACTATTGCCACACTTTCGAGTTAACTTATGGATAATGAAGTGTGTCAATTGCTATCAAATCCTTCCTTGCATTGTAGACTGGAGATCAGAGTATCTGATGTTTGGCCAACCCTTCTACGCTAGGCACTGGCAACTAGTGTGAACATCAACGCTTGTATCAAGCCTTATGCAAGGTGGCGGTCTGTGGAGGAAGCAACTACAACAGAAGGTATGCGACTTACGCACTGATGTTTGATGACGAGGTAGCTATGGTGGGCCGGATTTAATACTGCCTTCCTTCCGTGTGTTTCAATGAAGTAGACTAGTAGATCTTGTCGAATATGTGAAGGAGATGGTGAAGTATCAATCATGTGGAAATATGGAACCACGGTTTTCAAATTAGGAGTGCCAGAGCAATAGCTGCAACGTTTTTTGCAAGGCCATTATTACCAACCCGGAGTTGTGAATTCTCGAGATTTCAAAGCGCGATTCTTCTCTAGTGTCCCATGCCAGAACTTACTCGAAGGCATGGCTAGCATTGGGAACTCGCCGTTGGGTGAACTGGCTGTGGTCGGGAAGAACTCGTCTTTTCCTGGGTGTATCCATGGACGGAGAATTTGGCAGGAAGACATCTGGCAGCTCTGTTATAATAATGTGCGGCGTTCGCAATATCTGCTGGAGCTATGATGACATATTTTAGCAGCGTACTGACTAAATCGTAGACTTGCCTCGGAAGATTCGATTTTCGAACTATATGAGCCTGCTGCCATGGTAGATATCAGAATTCCGTTCGATGTCCATCAAAGTTCTACCAATTTATCCAGTTCTCTGTTTATTCATTCTCCCGTCTAATAGAACAGCAGGAGCCAGGTGGGTCCTTCGGTAGGTCACCAGGACAGTTGCTCCAGCTGCAGGTACGATAATTCCTTCTTCAAGGGTTTATGTCTGGCCGACACCAAACGTTCACTAATCCAAGCATCTCAAAGACCTCAAGCCTGACTGACTGTTGCTTCAGATCAACGATTCCTTGATGATTCAGCATATGAGAAGTAGATACTGTGGAGTGGTTGTTTGGAATTCCAACGTTAGATGTTTCGACATTAAGAGGTCTAAAATTTCGGAGATTGAGATTTAAATAGAGGGGTTCTATCACCAACGCGTAAGGTTAGCTTCTATCCATTTTTGCAGATGCTTGGGAGATTGTTGCCGCGAAGAAATTCTCTGCGAATAGCACGGAGTGCGACTTACTGCTCATTTTATGGGATTGAATTTACCGGCACTAGTAGGTGTCAGAATCAAGAGAATACCTTCTGATGGCACTAGAAAATTTGTTAGTAGAATTTCATAAAGAACTATTGATAAGCACAAAGAGGCATCTGCTCCAGAACCCATGGCTATTTTCAACAGTAATGAAGACAATTCTAGACAGTCAGCGACAAGCCAGATTGCATAGATGACAATATTTAGAGCAATGGAAGAGAAGAGGAACATGGGCTACTTGACAGAAGCAGTTAACAGGCAACACTGTACATACTAGAGGGGACTAAGGAGCAACTGTTGTAGAATGACGGTAAGAATGACTAGCTTATGCCAAAGAAGTGTAGGTAAGGTGTTTGCAATGAATGTAGCTTTGCTATAGAAGAGACTCAAGTCAGAGGCTTTCTTTGAAATTATGTTGCAGGATGATTAATACAAAGTTTAGTCTTGTTGTGATAAGTCAATGGCAGAATGAAGCTCTGTATGCAAGGAGTATAGACAAGTGATATTAGCAATGACATACTTAGTAACCATAAGATCTATGTATTCAGAATACAAAGAATCAAGTTAGCTATGGAGATACATTAGTAGGTTCAGGATTAGATAGAGTTAGATTTGTACAAAGACAAACCATCAAGTA